ATTTTAAAAGCAATTTATTCAATTAAAAAAATTTTCTTTTTTTTTTTTAAGCACGTGTTTTTGTTTTGTTTGTTTTGTTTGTTTGTTTGTTTTTGTTTTCTATCTTTTGACAATCAGTTTTTGATTTACTAAAAAAAAAAAAAAATTTCTCGTTTTTTTTTTTTTTTTTTAACGAGTTTTGGCAATGAACGAATTAATGACGCCAATTTTTTTTTAAAAAAAAAACCACAAAAATTTTTTTTTAGAAAAAAAAAAAAAATCAATTTATGACAGATGCCCCCCAAATTTATTACCAACAATACAACAACCGTGTTTTTAAATGTTAACAAATTAATTATTTTTATTAGGAGAGAGAGAGAGAGGAGAGGGAGGGGAGGGAGTGTGTAATGGATATGTTATCGACCCATTTTTTTATCACTTTGCGGTTTAACAAATTCATAATAACACACGTCTACCAACGTTAAAAAAAAAAAAAAACTTCGAACGAATCAAAACTGACGCCATTTTTTTCTCCATCTTTTTGTCAATTAAATTTATTATAGAACAATTAATTAAAAATTCGTTTTCGTAAAAAAATAATGATAGCAAAACTTATTTTTTTTAAAACCAACAAAAATAAAATTTTAAATTTAAAAAAAAAATTGAAAAATGTTTTCATCAACGCGTAAAAAAAGAAAAAAAATTTTCCAAATATTTACAACATCCCATCGTTGTCAGTTTTTTCCATTCGTCTTTGTTACGTTTAAACCTCGACTTTGTTTTTTTATGAATAAAATAATTTCTTTTTTTTTTCCTTCTACTTTTCCCTCTCCTCGTCCTCTCCCCTCCTCCCTCCTCTCCACGTTTTTTTAAACGCGAAAAAGATTTATTATTATTATTATTATTAATGACGTGAATTTAATTTTAAAAAGTAATGGAAAAATAAATAAAAAAAAAATGGCGCGCTGAGAAAAATTAAGAAAATCGAAATTTTAGATTCGAGATATTTTTTCCAGTTAAAAAAAAAAAAGAAAACGATTCGATAGTACCTGATAATAATTTTATATCGATAAATTTTTTTTTTAACGTTATAACGATCCGAAAACAAACAGCCGAAGGAAAATTTTAACAAACAACAAACAATAAAATCAACTAAATATGTTACCAAAAAAAAAAAAACGACACAAATTGTTTTTCCGATTATTTATTCGGCGGAAAATGTTTTTTTTTTTTAACTTTTCATAAAAATCTTTTTCAGAAAATTTTATTTAAATGGAGAAAAAAAGAAAAAAAAAATTCATTTTGATTTTATTATTTAATCATAACTAAAAATAAAAATTATTTTATTACGTAACGAACCCCATTCCGCCCCTCCCTCTCTCGTTTTCCCCTCCTTCTCCCTCTATTCGAAAAACAAATCGTATTTAAATGAAATTTATCATCATCATCATCATTTCTAACGTGTAAAAAAAAAAAAAAAAATTTTCATTTCATTTCCGGTACAAAAAAAAAATTTATTCTTTTATAAATTTCTTCATTAATTTAAATTTTACGTCGATTTCATAAATTTATGAAATTTTAACAAAAAAAAATACGGAAACGTTGAAAATAATAATAATAATAAATATAATTTAAATTCTTAGAAAATTTTCGGTTACGTTATATATTTCACAACAAATATCCCCATAATCTTGTTAAGAAGTTTTGAAAATTTAACTTAACTTAACTTATCTTAACTTTGAGAGATGATTTCGAATGTTGAAAAATTGTATAAAACGGGAAAAAGGCGGAAGTGAAAACTACGTAACAATATATCATTTACCATTTCGTTAAATAAAAAGAGA